TTGGTGATCTTGTTCCGGATCTTAAACCTCTGTAACCACCCAGAGGAAGCATTAAAGGGTTTGGGCTCTGTAATTCCCATCTTTCGTGCCACTGCCATGTACAGTTCACGTGCGTAGTCCTTAACAGAGCGCGTGTCGACCGCCATGTTCCGTCGCGCCTGACGCACCAAGTACCTCACAAGTAATTTTTCTGTCTTGAGAAGCACCTGGTTGTGAAAATACTTGATCATAGTAGTACCTGTAGACTTTGTGATCTTCATGTGCTCCTTTATCTTGGCTGCATCCTTCTTTATTGTTCGAATTGTAGATTCATTCACACCATGCTGGTGCGCCATATCAACCTGCCTTGTTCCTTTCTCCAACTCTTGGATGATGCTATACTTCACCTCGTAGCTTAAGGAACGTCGTATCTTCTTTGGCTTAGTGCCGCTGGGTCCAGGTAAGGAAAGGTTTCTCTCTGGGGGTGGTGGTCCGGCGGAAGCCATTTTACGGAACAATGGATGCACGTTTACACGGTGTGGCCTTGAGGGATGAAACTGCCGCGGCTAGGTCAAGCGTCGTCTTTCCTCCCTCCCTCCCTCCCTCCCCCGGGTGGACACGTCATAATACTTTAAGCCAATTACAGCTAGCAGCAGAAGGGGGTAGGGATGCATGGCCAATCACAGTCTGATACGTCATATGACGTCAGTGATAACGCAACAAAGACACACACTGCGCAACCTTACCGCGCGGCTTGCCCAAGCGGAGGGAGGAGGAGGGAGAGGCGAGGAGCACAGGCAGGCAGGCAGGCGGGCGGGTGGCGGGTGGGCCGAATCTAAAAATAGCGTCACGCCGGACACACTCCGCGTAATGGGGCTCACGTACCGCGTAATGTGAGCACGTTAGGTTCTGGCAAGGCACTGCGTAAACGTGGAAACGCGGAATGCGGGACCGCGTAAAGTGAGGGTTAACTGTATTATAAATTTGTATCTTATTTATTTATTCATTCAACTATTTTTTTATAAAATGCCTAATAAAATATAAATATAAAGCTAACGTTATGGGCGGGAAGGTGAGGGAGACAGGTGTTGTCAGTGCTGACTGCCCTTCAACTCCCTCAACTGCTCAGGAGTGAAGTAGCTATGGCATTCCCAACTTTCAAGAGGCAGCTTTAGCATTGTTGTTGACGTGTGGCTTCCATGACATATTAGAGGAAATGGTGAGGCCTAGTACATCTATTTTAGAATTTGGCAAAATGATTGTGTCCTGAAATGTGATTGGTTGGAGATCATCTAATTTGGAAAGTGTAACTGGTAAATACTGAGTTTTATTACTACAGTATTGAATTTAACCTAGTTTCTACCTCCCATTTGGAGATGCTGCACAAATCTGCATTGACAGATGTAATAATATCAGCTCTGGAAAGAGATCTAGTTTGAGAGTTAGGGGGAAGGGGAAAATGTGAAGAAGAGTGAAGAGTGGAATCATCAGCGTAAGAATGGATAGAATTAGTCGTAGTGTGAAGTAAATCACTGATGAAAAGAAGGAAGAGAGTAGGTGAAAGAACAGAACCCTGTGGAACACCACTATTGGTAGAGAAAGAGCGAGAGATCGATCCCTCGACAACAACTGCCATACTGGCGATCCGGCGAAAGACAATGGCGTTCAAGGTGACGGAGAAAATGAGAGTTTAAGATAGTTTCGAAAATCTTAGAGAGAGATGAAGTTAGAGCAATTGGGTGATAGTTAGAGGGATTGGAATGGTCACCCTTCTTTGGGATTGGCTGAACCGAGGCATGCTTCCAAGAAGAAGGAAAAGTTTGAGTTTTGAGGCAAAGGCAAAAGAGGCCAGCAAGGACAGGGGCCAGAACTTCAGAACACAAGAGGGTATTTCTTCCGGTCCATGCACCTTACTCACATTCAACCTGGATAACACACCAGCAACCCTATGAGTGGAGATTATAGGAAAGTGCCTAGGTTCAGTAGGAGGGATACAGTTGGAATCATCTTAGGTGAAGTTAGAGGTCAATAAGGTGCCAAAGAGATTGGCTTTATCAGGTGGGATAGTTAGCTACAGAGTTATCAGGTCGGAAGAGAGGAGGAAAAAAGGGAGTGCAGAAGTTATTACAGATTTTTTGGTAAAGGACCAGAAGGATTTACTAGAAGAAGAGTTAGTCAGGACAGCGGTTTTTCTTTTTATAAAGTTCCGCTTGGCCCTACAAAGAATAGCCTTACAACGATTCCCAGAAGTAATGATAAGAGGAGTGGGTAATAGAAGGAGATAGTTTCATAGCTTGATATGCCCTATCTCTCACCCTGCATGCAAGAGAACAGGAGCGATCAAACCATGATTGTAAAGTGAAAGTTTTGGTAGAAGATGGGATAAATGCACTCATACCACCCTGTATAACCCCAGCAATGCTGTCAGTATATACTGAGGTGTCCCGAGTTGAAAAAGCAACATTCACCCAAGGATAGTCGGAGAAGAATTCTCGCAAAGATTGCCAATTTGCCCTCCGATAGTGCTTTAGTTGGCATTTAGAGGGGAGCGGGGTAGGTGGTCGTGCCCAATTTGATATAATAGAAATAAGATTTTGATCAGAAGACCCTAAGGCGGCAGAAATTGAGTATGAATAGTATGAGGGGTTAGAGGTAAAATATAGATCAAGAATGTTAGTAAGTTGATTGTGTCGATCAGGAATGCGTGTAGAGTGTTTAATTATCTGTTCCAGATCATTAAATAAGGAAAAAGAGAGTGCCTCAGCTCCACCTGGGTCATCCCTTGCAAGCCAAGCCACTTTCTGTGATGTACATTGAAATCCCCTAGGTAGAGGAGTGCGGTGTTGGGGGTGTGTGGATAGCAACAACTCGTGGCAAGAAGTGAGACAGTTAAAAGAGTTCTAAATAGTTGGTAGAGTTTGGAGAATAGTATGGTAAACAAAAGAAAATAGTCATACTGAATGTACAGTATAGTATACGTAACTGTAATCACTTTTTATGTTCTTAAACACTGTATTCTTGGCTGATTTTTTTCTGGTACAGTAATGTACAGCACTACAACACAAATTTCATACAAAAACAGTAACTAGTGAGGAAATAACCTTTTATAATGGAAGCAGAATATGAACTAAGCATTCCAAACAGCTAGGCCACCCATGGTCCCATGCACCTTGCATGTGGGGATGGGTTGAAGCATGATGCAATCTATTGGAATGCCCAGAAATTTTGTTCCCCCACCCAGAAATGTAAATATTTTTAGATTTTCCAGATTTTTCTTTGAATTTTCGGAAAATGCGCCTTATTTTCAATCACGGAATTGGTTCCCAAATCCAGAATTGAGAATCTTTCCGGAAACATTCTGAGCCAATTTCAGTTCCGACTATTGGAAAGTTCTGGTTAAAAGGGATTTCAACTTACAGAAATATTACTGTACTCTGCATAATTTTATGCATTTCTTAAAACCCTCAAGTATCCCCTAAAAGACAATAAGTACAGTACTTTACATAAAAAGTCATGTAAATTGGTATAGATAGGTGTGGTGCACTGATATGATATGAATGAATAAAAATTCATGTAAATTGGTATAGATAGGTGTGGTGCACTGATATGATATGAATGAGGGCAGGATGCAGACTGAGACACGTGCCGTGCAACACCCACTCACAGACGTTCAACGGCATGTATGAACATACAAACCGTCCAGACTGATGCTGAATTTTCCGGACTTAATAGAAGGGCAGTTCAGAGCACCTCAGAGTGTCTAAAAAAACGAATTCTGGTGTGTTAAAGTCCAGTGTATAGATGATTACATTACAGTGCTATAATATATTTAGCTTCAGTTGCAGATACTGTACATCTCTTTCTTTTCTTGAACCTGGTAGTATTTAACCTCATCCAGTCTATGAAACCTAGACACCATAAATCTCATCAAGTCAGTGTATTTTTTACCCACAAATTGCCAATCCATGGCCTATTGAGTTGTGGTTCCAAATTTGCTTAATGCACACAATTTTATACTCAAAATTATTTCTTATGAGAAAACTGTAACATTAGTATTTAGAAACTTATTCAGGTTTAAAATGTACAGCACATATATTGTATAATGCATGAACTATTCTTTTAAAATGCTGTTGAATAGTGAGCTAACTGTTAAAGTTTAGTTGATTAAATCAGTGTTTACAGTTACCAAAAGAAAAATTTTGACCAGTGCACTCATTGTTTGAGTGATGTTTCTTTACATCTGATAATAATTATTAAACAGTTAGTCATTTTTCACAACTTTCTTCATACTTGGTTATGCTTAGTAAGGATTATAATGTAATGAAAATTGGAAATAATCAAGAAAAACAGAAAAGGAGTGTATTAAGGTTAACTGCATTAAAAACTGTTCCATGATAATGAGGAAAATGTGTTACAGTAGAACGTCGATATAACGCGAGATATGTTCCAAGAGAGGTCACTTTAAACCAAATTCGCACTAAATTGAAGTGTTGTTTCAATGGAATAATTTAATTTGGAACTTGAGAGAAACACAAAATACTGAAAAAGACTTATTAACTATTAAATATGAGAAAAATATATGGTATAATGATATATATGCAGCAAGCACTCCCTGCAGTCTAGTTGAGAGCTGGACGGTACTGATACTGCATAGTACTGCACTGTATTGTACCATCTGCTACCTGGCACCACTGGCCCTCCTCATGCTCTGACTGAGAGTATACCCAAATGCATCTCCTAGAATAAATAAAACATGTTTTTGTACAGGCTGTAGTATTATGCTAAAACAAACACTCATAAATCAACACAGCTAAAATTACAGGACGCAAAATGGTCTGTTTACTAGCAATCAGCTGATGTGAGTGAGTGGTTTCGCTGGCGCTGCTCTCCACCCTCCTCTCGTCTGACTCACCAAGCACTTTCACTTTCCTCTCAACTTATTTTTTAATTACTTTATGCTATCAAAAATAGATTTTCACCCACCTGTAGTTTGACAATTCATTCTCTGAAGATGCAGAGCCCTACTCAACCAGCTCAACATCCACATCACTGTCTAGTGGTGTGGCTGTGGATGCATCTGACATGCAGGAAGCACTAGATGACGGTCGTGTCTGCCCAGACGTAGATAGGCCAGCTACCCCAGGAGCTGAAGGAATGGAAAACATTCATTAAATTATTGAATTTCTGCCACATAATTATTACATATCATACGCCCAAAATTTAATGTCTATTTTTCCAAGCAATAAACACTCAATTTCTTAACACACAGTTTCATAACAAACTCACTTGATGAGGATAATGGACGGAAGATTGATGCAATTTTCTTCTGTTGCTGGGCCATAACCATCTGATCTAGCAACTGAGAGTAGGTAGATGCAGCCCGATTCAACGCCTCCACCACTTGCATACCGCGTTCCATATCAGGGTCATGTTGCAGTGCAGACTGGGTGGCAGAAGTGATGTGCTGCATGAACTCCCTCTGCTTAGAAATGTCAGTTCCTTTCTCGCTGTTTGGGGCTTATCTGTTGCTTCCTCTTCTCCCTCGTGTTTTTTCGCCATCTCTACCATCTCCAAGACTTTTTCAGAAGTGAGAGGATCCTCCATGCTGAAAAGCAGTTCATTCACATCCTCTTCTTGGATTTCTTGAAATTTTGAATCACCTCTCACTTCCTTAACGAGCCTCAGAATGTCTTTCACGTCCTTGCCTTCATCAAAGCCCTTGAAATCATGGACTACCTCAGGCCACAGATTACGCCACACTCCATTTAGTTCAGTTTCTGGCACACTTTTCCACGCAAGTGTGATGTTAGTTATGGCATCTTTGATGGTGTAGCTCTTCCAAAACGTTGCTGCAGTCATATTGTTGTCCTTGTTCATAGCTTCAGCAATTTGAATCATGGTATACTTGAGATAATATCTCTTTAACAAGGCAATAATACCTTGATCCATTGGCTGAATAAGTGAAGTCACATTTGGAGGGAAGAAGGTCAAGTTTATGCCCTTATTCACACTGCACAGGTGTTTGGGGTGGCTAGATGTGTTGTCCATGAGAACCAAGGCCTTGTTGCTAAGGTTCAATTTTGTTTTAACATTTTCGATGAATGGGGTGGCATGGCTGATATACCACTTATCAAAAACATCAGAAGTCATCCACACTTTCTTGTTTAATCGCCAAATTACAGGAAGTTTTGGGATGAGCACGTTTTTCAAGGCACGAGGTTTAGCTGAGTGGTGGATGACAAGTGGCTTCATTCGTGCGGTGCCTGATGCGTTCGCCATGAGGAGAATCATCAGTCTGTCCTTGCTGACCTTGAACCCTGGTGCCTTTTCTTCGCTCTTCATTAGATAGGTTTTCTTGGGCATTCCTTTCCAATACAGTCCAGTTTCATCACATTTCTACACTTGGCAAGGAGAATACAGTAACCATTTTCTAACACTACAGTATATCCTTCATAACTTTCTTCATATCCTCAGCTGCCTCTGCATCGGCAGTTGCAGCTTCACCTGAAAGCATCACATTCCGTAGCCCTGTCCTTTTGATAAATTTGTACAGCCAGCCTGTACTTGCTATGAACTTCCTGTCTTTGATGGACTTCCCTTCCTTTTCAAGTATCCAAGACTGTATTTCGTAGGCCTGGTTTTGCAGCACGGGGCCAGTGAGAGGAAGTTTTTCAGGTGGAATTTACCCTTGGCAACATCTGGTGAAGCATAGGTTGCTCTAATTTTCTTCTCGTTGAGCTTTATAGTGCAGACAGAGCTCTCCGACAGTCCAAATTGACGCCCCACACTTGAAGCACCATTTCCTCGCTGCAGTGCTTCCAACACCTTGATTTTCTGCTCCAGTGTAATTGCTTGCCTTGATTTCTTGGCTTTTGGGGTAGTTAATGATGTAGTAGCTGGCCACTTGGACATAGTGGCGATGGTTGATGCACGTTGTAGAAGAGATAGTGTCACACAATATGTCCGTTCACTAGAGCGTCAGCGCGAGAACTGAGGATGCGTGAGGGTGTGAGAGGGTGACAGGCAGCCACGTAGTGTGCTCAGAGACGCGTCTGGTTGGAAACATTAGCGCAAAATTTTAAATAAGACGCGCCAGATTAACCTGCACAAAATAGGAAAGATTCGCTTTAAATTAAAACATTGTCCTTAATTGTAGGTTCCGCTTTAAATCAATAATCTTAAGTTGAATCGCTTTAAATCGACGTTCTACTGTACTTACTTCAGTCAGCTGAATAGTACAAGCAGTGTACAGAAGTATCTGCTGAGAATAGGACAGTGCTGTAGTTAGTTTTCTTACATACAGTATACCCCACATTGTAATATAGTATTAAATGTACAGTAACAGACATCACTATACACTGCACTTATCTCAGCTGATTAGCACTATTATAAAACATTCTTGGTATTTCATGTTTACTTAAAATCCCTTAGATTTCCTTGTCACCCATTATAACCTTTATATTTCACATCACTGTTATTTTATCTCTCATATTGAAGCTTTCAATCCATTTATTCAGGTCTTCCCAAAGCCCATCTCTCCATAATAACCCACCTAATTCATGGTGTCCTGGGATTAACATCCTTATATTCCATAACATATCCCCATATTTCATCTTAAACTGCAATAACACATTCTCTTCAGTTCATACTTTTTACAGCACTCTGATTTAATGCTTTTCACATATATCTAGTAGACATCTCCTTGGTTTTCAATTTTTAAATGTAATGATACTAGAAAATATTGGTGATTGATGGTGACTGATACTGATTGTTTTAAATTTTTATTTTGTCTTTTCCACAGGAGATGCTTTCTCCATCAGCAGACACTGCAGGACAGTTATATAGTCCAGACGATGATCCTGCAAGTGAGTCCAACTGCCCACAACCTGAAGTTAATTTGGGGCATGAAGAAGCTGTACAGGAGAGTAACCCATCACCACAGGTAAGTGTGGGAGACACCTTTTTTTATTCAAATAATATACATTTAATGAATATGCTAAAGAGATGGAAGATTCAGAGCAATAAAGGAATTATATAAGGGATTAACATTGATTAAAAGAAAGCAATTTTTAGTTGCACTCATTCACTCTTGGAGAACAATTTATTTATACAATAAATAATGAAATATATGGCCACAAGATTCTACAACTGGATCATGATTTACAGCTTGCCACTCCACTCATCAGAACCACCTTATGAATTGGGAATTACAATTGGATGCTGCCATAAGAGCTATTTTCTAGCCATGATCCTTTAATTTAAAAACAAACAAAAAATTTAATATAGATGTCTCCTTTAAAATCAGAAAGGTCATTGCACCCTTTTTAAATACTGTACCTCCTTAGATGAAATGTATGTGTCTGCTGTGATGGGTCAGAAATGTTGACTGGTAATCCACAGTCTTTCTTGCTTTTTTTTCAAATTCATTGGTTATTGGACAATTATATAATCTATTACTGTAAATAAGTTTACATTTATTTTACAATATAAAGAGGAGACTGTACTACTTGGTAGCCACTTAGTCCTTGAGTATGTATGTGAAATAGAATGGCTTCTGAAGTTGCAAGATAAATTTATATATTTGATCGGGGTTCCAGACTAATTCCATAAGACAATTAGTCAGTGGGACTAACAGTATAATGTATCCACCGTTTGAGAGTAGAACCTTCAAACATACAGGTAGTTCTGCTATAACGCAATAGTTGTGTTCTTGTAAAACATCGTGTTATAGAAATTCGCGTAATAGAAATGACAGGGCTTATGGAGAAAATAGGGTTAGGTGCAGATTACTCCAAATCGAAAAAAAATTTCGTAGTTAGCCTAACACAAAGGATAGCACAGTCTAAATAAATGTTACATTCATATCTAATAATGAAATCATACAGTAAATGTTACACTTTACCTTGAAAAAATATGAATATAACTTGATGGGGGATAAGGGTGATGTTGAGGCTGAGGAGTCATGAAACATCAAGCTTTTCTTCAAGTGTTATAGCCTTTCTTTTACGATCACCACCGGAAATGCGATCACCAGAGTGCTTCCCAGAGATATTCTTCTTTTCCATAGTCACAAAATTGGAGAAACAGTAATCAGAATTCACTGAGGACACTTAAAAACTTCACACGTGTTTCAAACAAAGTGTGGAGTAAACAGAGCGCGCGGGTCTAAAACGCTATGTATTTTGTTTTTCTCTTATTTAAAATTTTACATTTTACATATACTGTACAGGTATACTGTATACATAAATATTACATAAATTATTTCTGCAATTCTTCACAAACAAAACACATAAATCAATTGAACAAGTGATGTCGAACGTGAACTGCAAACATTGAGCCAAGCCACAACACTGTACAGTACACTTTAACACTTTAAACGCTACGTATTTAGTTTTTCTCTTTTATTTAAATTTTTACAATTTACATATATATATATATATATATATATATATATATATATATATATATACAGTACTCCCTCTTTATCGACGGGGGTTACGTTCTGTAAACGGCCGTCGATAAAGAAACCGTCGATACCGTGATGGTTACGTAATTTTTCTAACTATTATTAGCATATGTTGAATAAATGTACCTTTAAGCATTAATGCGTTTCCTTTACGCATAACCTTAAATAATAGTGTATAAATAATAATATAATAAGTGGACAAAAATACTAGCAAACTTACGATTTCATTTATTGAAGTGAACATCGGTCCTTACAGTAAACAAAACAGTGTACAGTACAGTAAAAGTCCAAAAATCCGGCTGCCCAAGGCAAATTGTTTACCATTTATTATTACAACACTTTACACTGAAACGCGGGTAGTTTCAACAAAAATATTGTATATTTCCATTCAAGTATTTATTCAAGTCAATTAGGAGGGAATATTATTGTAATACAACAGTTTTTTAACTAAACCATTCGAAAAGTGATTACGGTAACATCTTTTGAACGAAAGAAAGAGTCATTGTTTTCGTCACGATTTGATCCCACTTTCCACTTTAATACGTACGTCATTTCAACAAAAATATTACATTTCCGTGAATGTATTATATCAAGCACAGTATGAATAGAATATCATTGTAATATAACAGAATTTTAACCGAAAACTATTAAAAAAACGAGTAACATCTCAAGAACATCGGAAGCATAGGTAAAGTCTTTTGTTTTCGACATGTATTTTATCCTATTTTACATTGAAATACATCACGTTTCAGCAAAACTACTATTTATTTCCGAGAATATATTCATTCAGGCGCAGTTTAGGTAAAATATACGTGTGATGTAATAATTTTTTAACTGAAAACGATTCGAAAAACACGTAGCCTCTAGCCCTGTTCAAGGAGAGGACTGGGAGAAGCTGTTTGGTGCTGCAGACGATGACAAGGAAAATGATTTTGATGGATTTTAATGAAAATATTCAGAAATATGGTATCGTAATATTTATTCAAGTCAATTAGGATATTATTGTAATACAATACAACAGTTTTTTAACTAAACCATTCGAAAAGTGATTACGGTAACATCTTTTGAACGAAAGAAAGCGCAAGTCATTGTTTTCGTCACGATTTGATCCCACTTTCCACTGTAATACGTACGTCATTTTAGCAAAAATATTACATTTCCGTGAATGTATTATATCAAGCACAGTATGAATAGAATATCATTGTAATATAACAGAATTTTAACCGAAAACTATTAAAAAAACGAGTAACATCTCAAGAACATCGGAAGCTTAGGTAAAGTCTTTTGTTTCCGTCATGTATTTTATCCTATTTTACATTTAAATACATCACGTTTCAGCAAAACTACTATTTATTTCCGGGAATATATTCATTCAAGCGCAGTTTAGGTAAAATATACGTGTGATGTAATAATTTTTTAACTGAAAACGATTCGAAAAACACGTAGCCTCTAGCCCTGTTCAAGGAGAGGACTGGGAGAAGCTGTTTGGTGCCAAAATAAAAATCCGGCTAAATAATCCGTCGATAATCGAAACCGTCGATAAAAAATCCGTCGATAAAGAGGGAGTACTGTATATATATATATATATATATATATATATATATATATATATATATATATATATATATATATATATATATATATATATATATATATATATATATATATATATATATATATATATATATATATATATATATATATATATATATATATATATATATATATATATATACATATATACACAGTTGTACCCCACTTAACGCGGTCAATAAAACCCAGAGGGTCAAGTGTTAAGTGAAATCCGCGTTAAGTGAACAACAGAACATATGGGATTAATTCCAATAGAAACCGGCCCGACCCCCAAACTCCACTTTTTGAAGGCACATACCTATGT